CTATGATGAGAGAGAAAGAAAAATAAGAGAACGACAACGGTTGGTCAAAATCAATAATATATAATCCAGGGAAGCATCTATTCGTAAAACATGCCCAAAAATATGTTTACGGCACACACAACAAATGTATGAAAGATAGATAGATAGAGAGAGACAGAAAGTTCTGCGTCTAATTCCGGCCGCGAGAGATCGTCGTGATACAAAATACAGCTGGCAATTACTGTAATATACAATATCGCTATCGAATCGCAGCGCAGGAACAAACACGTGACTTAAAACACCCATCGCTCGTTAACGTTGCGGCTTAACGCGCTGTGTAGTACGAATTAATGTTAATGCGTTTCTTGCCGGGCCGCGAATCCCCGACGAGAGAAGTGATTATCGGCGGACGACATTATGGTGTGTGTATAATAATTATGGCCGGTGACATCTTTGTATTGAGGCTCGTGTGCGTGGCGCAACGTTGATGAGGAAAGTTCGCGGAAAGTGGCGGACTAACGCGAATGACGAAACGTTTTGCTGCATCCCTTTCCGGCTACCATTAAACCAAGGTCCTAACGAGTAAACTCTCCTGGATTAATCCTCCGAAATGTCACTGACGTACGTAACCGCCCGGTGCTCGGAATTTCCGGTATTCGTGCGAGCATCGGCTAGTAAAATCGACAAGATCTAGCGCGATAAAAATATATATTTACCATTCTGAGAGTATTAGGCAAAGAAGTCGCGTGAGAATTTGCGCTATAAAGTAGACGATCTTCAGGATTATGGAATTTCACCCAAATATCACGCAAAAAGTTGTACGGTATATTACGATGCCGTAAAGAAAAAGAGGCGAAAAAATAGAGGCGAGCCCCCTATTATGGGATAGGCTCCTAATATGAGATAACGGACTTTCCGCTAAATTAATATCGTCTGTTGGTTCCACCCTGAATTTATTACACTCGCAGCGAAGTCTGTTTAGTAGAAAATCGATTGAATTTGAATGTTGAAAACTATCTCATATTAAAATCCTATCTCGCAGCAGAGGACTTGCCTCCAGCGCGGTTGGATATAAAAAAATACTTTCCCACCAAAAAGATTCGAGCCAGATCACGGCTTCGCTCGCGACCTCGGATCACGCGATTAATATTGTTTCCTCGCTAATGCATTAGAATCGAATTGGCGCGTGTTTGAGCGAGATAAGCCGGGGAAATATTTGCGCGACACGGCGCGCAGGACTCGTACGCTGAATTAACAATAAAATGCACTATCTTGCACGGACAGCGCGCGACCGTTGCAACTGGCACCTCTCGTGCAGCGTGTACGTATGTAATTAGCCAATTCGTTCTCGCCGGAAGTCCATGTGTCTCCGCGAGACCGCCGTTAAAAGCGGTACGTCAAGCGCATACTACCCATTACTAACGTTTTTTTCGACACGGCTTTTGGTGTGTCCGCTACAAAAAAGACGCATTTGCACTAGTCAGCTATATTTCTCCTCCGACATATCGCACGGTTTTTCGACATGACTTATTCGCGAGGTCTTTTTCGCGAGGTCACATATTTTGAAATTTTTCGATAAAACGGCAAAATATTTCCCGCGACCTTTATGAGGCAACGAATGTGATATAAAATATGCGGGACGATACGTAGAACAACGCGTATATTTAAAGAACCGGCCGTAGAAGTTGCTGCGCCGACCGTGATGCAGTATCTTTCCTTTCATTGCAAGTCGCGCGAAACTTTTTCTCAACGCAATCGACATCTTTCAACGGCGATTTGTAAAACTGCGTTATCTGCGCTTCCCGTTCGCGCGAGTTAACAATAACCTTCGCGCAACAATAGGCGGCGAATAATTAATAGTTAACAGTGATACGGCTCCTACTTGCTCTCGATTACTATGCAACAATGGGGCTCGCGCTTTGTACGGGGAATTGCACTTTAGTGATAACCGACAGAAATACCCGATGCGGCTCTTCCTCGGCTCTCGTGCCGTTTCTTATACTCTCGCGAGTCGCGAGGCATGGATCTGCGGACGAGAAGCCGGGCCTTTGGTCGCGTCGTTTATTCAATTTGGCGTACACGAGAGGGAGACGACGTCGCGGTAGAAAGAAATTAAATCTCGCTGCGGAATTGACTTGGGCACTCGCGGGAGAATGAAAATAGCTTCGTACCTGCGTGCCGAGATGCAGCAAAATGTTTCGAGGACGTGGTCCGCGCAGCGGAGCCTACGTAATCGCATTGTTCGCAAGTGCGTTCGAGCCGAGAAGGATAAAACGCCAACGCTAACGAGGCCGGTATCTCGCGGACGGTCTTGAGTGCCCCGCGCCTACGAGTATGCGTACATCTGTGTGTGTTTGTGTGTGTGTGTTTCCTGACCCGTGAATACGTCCCGCGTGGTGTTCGTATAAAAGACGGATTTGTACTCGAACGAGGGTGGCTCCGATTCTGAAGCGATGGTTCCTACGCAATGCTTTCTCGGAAGACGCTAGAATTTGCAGAGTGCACTTTAGCACCCATCTTGAGGGGCACAACAAACTTACTTTGACCGTTGTTGGTGCTCGCGATGCAAGAAGTGCAGTTACTCTCGGACAGAAATTATCTTTGCTCATTCTATTCAAATTCTCGTTGAAACTAAGCGTCGTTATTTATCTGCCCGTTACTTTTCTATCAGACAACCCAAAAAATCAAGCAACTTTCTATCAGACAAAGATTGAGACACCTCGCTGCCTTGAACCCTCTCTACGTTACTTGCTAATCCAAACAAAGTTTCTCAACCCAAGCCAAGAACCATCGCTCGAATGTCCGCGCGTCCTGCGCCGAGGGTCCTCCAACGTTCTCCACGATCCTTGCGATCGCGCGGACCGTGTCCCCTGTACACTCGACGTGTTCCGATCCGTGTCTACCACGAGTCAGCCCCTAAATGCGAACATAAGTGTATCTTGCGTTATGCTATTGCGAGCGAGCGAGCGAGCGGGTAGTGGCGCGCGTCGCCTCTGCGTAAATGGTGGTGTGTCTGTGTATTGAGTGTGTTTGAGATGCGTGTAATGTGGATTCGTACACAATATCAATTAACGTGCACAAGAACAATACTGCCACGAGATTGCGTGCAGGGCGGGTTCGTGCAGAGAGCCGCACGGAGCATTGACAGTGTGACAGACCTGGCTTTAATAGACACAACTTTAGCCCCGACGGCCATGTTCTCTTTAATGTAGATCGGGCCATACACTACGTGGTCCCATACGGGCGGATTATTCGCACGGTCCACAACGTCAATCTGAACCTCCACCGTTCGCGACAAGGGTGGGTAGCCCCTGTCTTTGGCCATCGCCTCCAGCTTGTACGTCTCGCGCTACGGCCAGACCGCGTGTATAACAAACGGGAACAAAAAACAACGGCGTTAGTGTTAAGGCGCCAAGGCTCGTGGCAAAGGGAGAGTACATGGTACATGTTGCTCCCCGTCTTTTTTTTTGGGTTTGGAGAGAGAGGAGGGAAGAAGCTTCTCTCTCCCTTGCATCCGCTGGGCGGTCACTCGCGACGCCCTGCGCCCCCGGCCGTCCGCCAACGCCTGGAACGTTTGGCGCGAGCGCGAGCTCGCATTATGCACGCACCCCTCGTGCACGAATTTGCACGTACGGTGAGAGACTATATGGCAAAAGCGCTCGCACGACTGCGACGCGTCGTGCAGTTGCTCGAGCGGCACGAGCTCCGGGTGACGAGCGGCGTGCTGGACGATCGACGATCCGCAACCTGCATTCTGCGCGTGAATATCGCAAAGGCAACACAGCAGGTTCTGTCGCTACGTCCTCGCCTAAACTATTATGAGCACGCATAGAAACGCCTGTAGGTCACCGCTCCGCCTTCCCGCATTTGCACAATTATGGTTGTTATTGCGGTATATTCGCTATGATCCGCGCGGCCATCGCTGCGTCTTCGGAGTCTTTGGAGAAGCGCGGTCCCCCCCGGTCGCCCGTGTTTGCCCGGGAAAACGCGGGCCCGTTCGACTTTCGACTGGAGCTAAGCTCAGAATTGCGAAGCGGGGTTTAATAGCGAGGGGACTCTACGGGTCGGTGTCGCTTGCAATTTGTAACAATCCTGCAGTTATCTGTTATAAACTTATTGCTAGTTCGTAAACGAGGCGGGGGAACTCATTACGCGGCGCTTCAAGATGAATGCCAAGCTAAAACTTTCTCTCCCGCGGTGTCCACGTTACTGTAAATAAATTGCACGCGAAAGAAATCACAGAGTATAAATCCAGACGGCATATTTTCTCGGCAACTTTCCATTTTACAGCGACGACGCGATGTAATCGGGGCAAATCGCGAGGGCAATTTGAATGCTGTAATTGCCGCTTACGTTTATTTGCGACACTCAAAGCTTACTCCACGTGAAAATCGAAAGGCCCGACCGTCCGCGTATACGATTTCTGCCCGATCGGACCCTCGCTGTCTCCAAATATCGTCGAAGAGCGATCGCCGCGGCTCGCTACAGTACACATTGGGAAAAGATAGTGGTAGCAGTATAGTAATAGTAGTTGTTGTAGTAATAGGAGAAGGAGTGTCCGCCAATCAGCGATCTACCGCGCCGCGCTTAACCATAAGTGCTTCCGCAACCAAATAAAGAAAAACAGACATGGTATATTGTGTACCCGGTGTGTCCAAAAAAGAGAAGTACATAGACGTACGAGAGAATGAACAAAATAGAGGTTGAATGCTGTGATAGGATCAGCAACAGAATAGAACGGGGGTTGAAAAAAAGAGAACCTGTGTATCGGAAAGTAAATCCAAGTGCATAAAGGGAATCGATGGGTCAGAAAGACAAATAGAGTACTGAGTAATTGAATGGGGGGAAAAGAAACGAAAAATGAGAGAGACAAAATAAGGGAGCGGTCAACACAGAGAAAGAGAGAAAGAGAGTGAGAGAGTGAAATAGATAGAGAGAGAGAGAGATAGATAGGGACAGCACTGCATGGCACGGCACGGCATGTCACGTGTCTTGTCTCGGTCATGTCGTAGCATACAAACCTGGCTTTCACCGACGTCACTACAGTACCCACTGTGACATTTTCTTTGATGTGAATGGGGCCGTATACATTCTGATCCCACACAGGTGGTTTATTGTTTCTGTCTACGACGTCTAACTCAACGTCCACGTCTGCGGACAAGACTGGCATCCCTCTGTCGGAGGCCCGTACTCGCAGGCGATAGCTGTCACGCTAGTGGCAAAACATTGGGCCGTCAACTTATAGGACACTTTCTTTCGGGATTTTATAGTTGGCGGTTTTTTTTTTGGTTTTTGCGATTGTTTTCCGTTTCGTCACTCTTTGTTTTTACTTTTCTTTCGCTTACTGTTTTTTATTTTTTATTTATCCCGTCTTTTCCGTCGGAGAGTTTACGAAAGAGCTAAAGCGTCACTCGGCGTCGAGCGCGTCCACATGAGAAAGTACCCTCGGCGGTCTTTCTGCTTTTTTATCCGCGAGCGAAATTGAAACGGAAGAAGAAGAAGAGAAAGACGAACAGATAGAACAGATAGACAGAAAAACAGAGAGATAAAGGACCGTGCAGTCTCGTAGGTATCCCTGGACATAGGACGACTCCGTTGCGTGTTACCTCGGCGACGGATTCTGTCCTCGTGACGTACGAATCCATTAACTTGCCTAATAATTTTTGCCCAATTGAATACAAGCGCGTCGCTTACACAAGAACAAGGTTTACTGCAATGAACTCAAACGTGCTGCGGGGTGAGTGGTTTCGCGAGTAGTTTCGTGATTGCAACGTACAGTGGCATGACGATGACGAAGACGACGATGACGATGAGAATCGTGACCGATGATGGCGGTGATGTGGATCGTAATTATGATGTTATTAACGGTGAAGACACTACATCGCCGACTTCTGTTGATTAACAAAGTAACATCGGTGTAAATATGTGCGCTCGGTAATCAAGTTTAATTAACTAAGTAGATTACGAAAATTATGGACAAATGTAGACGATGTAGCGGCGATACACCTACCTGTCGAACGCATACGTTTGCATATTTGAGCTCATTGCTGTATCGATTGTATTAGTTGATTAATGCAAACAGGTACTTTTGCCGGTGCGTTATTCGATTTAAGTTGATTTTATGCCAACAAAGGTGCAATTGCGTAAGATTATTTTGGCGGATAACAAACGGGGGGAAAATCTTTGTTCTAACGAAGGTAAAGTGCACGTCCGTAAGAGTCGTTGATCGAATATTGCACTGATTGCATTGGATAAATGCCGTGCTTATTTTTGCCCATCCGAGATAACACGAAAGCGGAAGGTATACTAGATGTTCTAGAATTATTTCCTTCGTCTATAGATTCTTCGATAATTTTGCAGGTAATATTTCTCCGTGCTTGTATCAAATGCGTTGTAAATTTTCGACGTGTTTTATTATTCGAACTTCTGAAAAATATGTTAAAGTTTGAAAAACTAGAAGGGCTCACATTTTTCCATCGTTTACAGTATAAAATAATACCAATTTATGTCTCTTTGGCCTTCGTATATTACAAATTGTTATTAAAATGTCTAAGAGCATCAAAGAATCTATATTTACAAAGGGTATTCACCAGGTATTTCCAAACTATCTAGTATAACAGCGGGTGAGTAGCAATAAAGGGCAAATATTGAAATAATAATTGAAAAGTATATTAAAAACTTGCATATTGAAGAATGCAACAAACGAAGAGACATGTATCTAGAAAAATTAATAGAATTAACTTGAACAGTTAATAAGGTCTTAATTTCCAAAGCTTAATTTTTAATGAGTAAAATTCCTCTGGGATTCTATTCACCCGCTGATTTTAGGGTAAAACCAACATCGCGATTTATGTTAATAAAAGCGCCGCATCGTGTCAGTCGTTTTGGAAACCGAGACAATCGGCATCCCTCGTTTCCAAGCGAACGTTTGTCTATAAGAGATCTTGCTATCTCATAAAATTCTAGTAACGAAAATTACCGGCTCTCTTCCTGGAACATTAAAAGTAATTATTGAAGCTGTTCCAGTAAAATGGAACCAGATCCCTGTCGAACATTCGATATCCAACGGACGGTTTAATCAAATATGTACGCGTAAAACATATACACTTCAATTACGGTTCCATTAGATGATTAGATACATTGATTAATATTAAAAAGGTGCTGTTACGTAAAATAGGACCGCAAACTGTGCTATTACAAACTATGCTGGTACAAAGTAACAAATAACAACACAACGTTCGTGTGACTTTAGCCAAGCAGATCGTATTTAGTGCACGGTTAAATAAAAAATTGGCGATATAAAGTGATTTACATTAATTTTGAAGTTTTAATTATAGCCTTATGTACATCTACGTTAACTAAAGACCGACACATTTTCCCATCAAACCTCATTATATCAAGCTGTTAACTTCTCCGTTAAATAAAGTAATTTCTTAACTTCGTAAATCCGACGTACAAAGATTTAATGTAGAGAGGGAAGTCGGATATGAATATTTGCGAAACGTCCGTTGGATATTCAGCACGAACAAATTGTCAGGTCACTGGTGGCGCAATATCGGCACAATAAAGGCATCCTTCACCTACGGATACATACGAGACCAGGATGAAAGAGCGAAAATAGACAGCGCGGTAGCACGTGTGTATGTACATAAAGAATACATCGCGCGTGATATAAAATTTCGAACAGAGATGTTCGAGAAGAAATGACTAGAAATATTTGGTAGAAATTGAGCCACAAGAAGAGAAAGAGAATATAGAGCAGAATAGATAGAGAAGAGAGAAAGAGATAGAGAGAGAGAGAGAGAGAGAGAGAGAGTGACGTCTCCGAGTGACAACGATAACAACAACAGAGGCGAAAAATCATCGAAACGATATAATGTTGAATAATCGAACGGAAAGGCGCTCTAGTATTAGCAACGAATATTATACTTTTCTTTTGCGCTGGTAACAATGGTCACATCATGATGTATCTCGATGCAAGGTGTGAAACACAAGAATATAGATCCTACTTACTGGAAAACAGCCCTTTTTTTTGTCATCATCAAATCCGAAGAAAGTAAATGGTGCAATGAACACAAACATAAACAATAAGAAGTTGAAATTAGTCTCTTTACGAAATCAATCAATGCAGGCATTTTCATGCAAGCGAGAATGCGATAAAGAGGCATCGGGAGACGGGGGTGGGACGAGAAAGGGGGGGGAGGGGCTGGGGGACACGGAGAGAGGTCGTGGTGGCGGAGGGTGAAATGGTGGAGAAGGCTCTAGGGGGAGAGGTTGAGACGGGGAGAAAAAAAAAACTATGACGACCCCTCGTCTGATTCGTTCTCGTTTTAACGACACTCAAAAACCGATGGACGTTATTTCTGATACTCGTCGTGATCGTTAATCCGCACGTTTTTCGGCTTTCCTTTCATTCCGTGATTTCACGTTCACTTTCATTCGCATTCTTCCCGGTTTTTCACGACAGTGGTATGCCGCCCCAATCACAGAAGAAAAAATGTCACACCACGGACAGTTCTCTTATGATCTATACATATGTATATACACATATTTGTACATTAGTAAACGCTCTCAATCAAAAATACTTTTCGTGTTCTTTTCCTTTTCTTTGTCAGTCACGTCGTGGTACACCGGGAGAGTGGGATGAAAATCGGGAAACGTCAGAGAGAAAGTATGTTAGAGAAAGAGAGAGAGAGAGAGAGAGAGAGAGAGAGAGGAAGAGAAAAGAAGTAGAAAGACAAAGAAAGATGTGAAATATCAAAAAGTAAAAGAAATGGTAACAAATCAACAAACGCAGGCTTTGTCTGACAAACAAATCGAATGAAAATATGGATAGACAAATAAGAGCTCATCAGGAAAGTAACCAACATACCTAAATCAATAAATGTCAAGCAGTATTCGGGAAAAGTAATCATCAACAAGACAATAAAGTACAAAATGCAATATACGAAAGATACTTTTTGAGAAGGAACAAAAAATTTGAGAAATTAGAGATAGACGTAGGTAGGAAAAGACAGATTTAGAGATAATGAGAGAAAGAGGGGGGGGGGGGCGAGGATGGATGTAGGAGCGAGAGCGAGATCCGTTCCTGTAAAGGAATCAAAAACACATTCATATAAAATATGCAAGCATTGTCAAAAATTGTTTATGTCTGATGCACCACAAAATGCGTAGAGGTTGAAGTACACCGTACGTGGGGCTCAAAAAATGTTGTTCCCACCTGCTCCTGGAAGTTCAAAAAACATCACTTCCCTTTTGAAAAACATTCACAATTAATAATGTTAGTTGATTAATTAAAGATCATTAGTTTCCTCCGAACGTTTCCATCTCTTTTTGTCATATCTCTTATTATCACTGTTTTGCATCTTTCCTTTCCATTTTTTTCCCGTTTCTCCACAACGCGTAACACGTACAAAAATCACACACATCCTTTTCTTGGCTACTTTTGGGAAAAGTATGAAAAGTGCACGCGTCTTTCTCTTTTGCAAAATCGTACCCGTCGGCATTTTGCAACTCGCCAAATTGATCGGAAATCATGATTGGCGTCGCGGCACAAAACCGGGAAACGCGGCGAAACGTACGGCGAACAAAGGAAATTAAGTGAAGAGAAAAAGAAGGACGAAAAATAAAAGGTACACGCGCGCGTTCTCTTTTTCCTTTTTTTTTTCTCGCTTTTCGACCGCTCATAACGTAACTCGACGACCGATGTTCGACGAAAAGTGAATGAAAAAACTGGACAAGAGGCTTCGTTTGGAATCATTTAAAAAGGTACTCGCGCCGCGAGTATGTTCTCAATAGAGAGAATGAGAGAGACAGAGAGAGAGTGTTTTGTTGCAAAAATAGCCCGAACGGTCGATCGATTCAGGTACATGAAGCGTTTGAGGAAATCAGGCATAGCTAAGTATTTACCATAGTGAACACATTGTGCATATCAATGGGAATTAAAAAGTTCTATACATGTGCCGTAAAAAGGAAACTCATTTCGTTGCATATTAGTGATGAGAGAAATAATTGCCGACCAAACGTATATTAGTATACAAGTTTATCCGCTCAGCAACAAAACGGATTCGTGTTAAATATAACGTAAGTCAACGCAAACGTACAATATATCGGCAGAAGGTATACACTCAAGTTTTATATTTATACGAGATCATGTATGTATATATATATACTGTATACATATACTGTATATATATAAATAAATATAATATACTACGTATATAGCCTATACATTCCTGGGACACGCGACACTTGTTCGGGACGAGTCGGATCCGCAGGATCTCATTCTCGAGGACGTCGCGAATACACATTAAACGTGGGTGAGTTGATGCAAGAGAGATTACTGGGCGCGGTGTTGACATCGCCGAATACTTATATTGCTGAGACTTTCGTTCCCGAGGTATCGAGTGTATCGGAGAGCAAAAGAAGCTAGCGCAAGCCGCAAAGAAAAATTGCAAGCCTCGCCCACGAAAAAGTGGGTGTGTTCCAGGAAAACGATGCTGTCCATACTGCTAAAGAGAGACGATATGTAGATGAGCGACTTGGTGTGGATACTTACGTCTAGGGGCTTCTTTAACACGATCCAACCAGACTCTGGTTGGATCTCAAAGTACTCCAGATTCTGCTCGTTGTTGGGTGAGCTCAGCGAGTATACGATCGCGCCATTGTTGTCAGCATCCTCGTCGGATGCCGACACTCTTAAAATGTTTGTCCCAATGCTCGCGTCCTGCTTCACGTTTTCCACGTATCTCTGCGAAAAGGACGCATATATCATCGAAATGTCCGATACCGCGACACATTTAATTACATCCGCTTTGCGAAGACACGTAATTACGTTACTCGAGATCGAAAATTATCAAACATTCAGTTTCAGCATTGTAATTTGTCAAAAACTACCCTTTCTTCTCTTGGAACACTGTTATTTAATTTCCCGCTTCACTTTGGCGGAATTTTATTGCGCGCGCGCGCGCGCGTGTATGTGTGTGTGTGTGTAGCTAAAAAAAATATGATAAAGTGGTAACTCAAATTCTTATCAAATATACATGTGACGGGTTTAATGCAGAAATGGGTCGAGTCCATAATTTACGAGATCCATTTCAGATACAGTTTCATGTTATCGACTTTACAAATTATGGTTCTCCGCTTACTACAAGCTCTCCGCTATATTATTAAATCGATGGCGGGCAGAATGTACTTTGATCAAGTAAACGGTAAAACTAGCCCAAAGTTACGTCGCATTAGTTATCGCAAATATATCCTCGAGTTACATGCGTCGAAGCGTAACTCGCGCCGAAGGTGCTTCCGTCACGCTCCGTCCTGCTTCCGGGCATCTGCTGTCGCGTTTCTAACCCGTATGGTTACCTAAATGCACGCCCCTGGGGTCGAGTGTACCCACCTGTCGGTCAAACAACGGCGGGTTGTCGTTCACGTCCGTTATTTCGACGGTAAATGAGCAAACACCTTCCAACGAGGGTTCGCCCTGATCCGTCGCCTTAACGGTGACGGACACGAATTTTCCGTCGTCGCCCTCGCGATCGAACACCTGAAAACACAACCGTGTTCGTTACCAGATACAAATACGTCAACGAAGTTTTAATATCTGCGAGTGGTTTGCAATTACGTTTCACGATACAATCGAAAGTCCGGGGGCAATTTCTCTTATAGGAAACAAATGATAAACCGTATGCGGCTCGATCGATAACCGATCAAGTGCTATTACATTTTTGGAAGAACAAAATTAATACTCGAGAGAATTTGCCGTTCACATTTCATACACACACGTGTATTCTCGCGCTGTTTCTTTTTTACAAGTAATATCGAGATAGACGTAAAAAGCGGACAGTAACAGAATCGTGTGGGAAAAAAAAGGATAGATATGTTATTGCGTTAGCATCATTTTGTTAGAAATCTTTATGGACTCGCGGCACGAACGATAATTACAGCGTTAAGTATCTCGCATGTTTAGGAATCGTTTGCTCTATGATACAAAGGGTGAAAAAGTAGAAGCTGAAAAACGTAGAGTTGGAGATTGTTAGATGCTTTTCAATGCGTTTAGAGCGCGCTCTCCAGCGTGAATTGCACTCGCGTTATCTTCCAAAGCTTGATACACGCTCCGATACTGTCGACGCAATATTTACAGTTTTATCGCCCGTTGCTTTAGACCAAATATAAAAGAGTTCAGAGAGAAACTTATACGCTCTACGTAACCGGGCATATTAAGATTAAAATATAAAATAATGTTAAATACGAAAGTATATTGAAATATTTTTACAACAGTGGAATGAGACGCGTATTCCGCGTTCTCTTTTGCCGACGAATGCGCCTCTAAAAGTGACTAATAAGCCTTTTGAAATGAGCTCTTTATCGCTAAAAGAGGATTCAGAGTACGGGCCCAAGTGTTGAGAGAGTCGTTGCGCCAAGTACCTTATTGGTCAAGACCTGGCCGGTTTCTTCGTCGACGGTAAACTTGGTGCCTTTCTGATTAGGCTGCTGCACGATCGAATACTTGACTTGCCCGTTGACACCCTTGTCCTCGTCTGTCGCCTGCACCTTGATGACTGTGCTGCCGTTCGGCGCACCCTCCTCCACTTTCGGGTAGTACATCCCGCAGTCCTTGAAGACCGGCTTATTGTCGTTGACGTCGGTTATAAAGACCACGACGACCGCGGTGCTGGTGTGAATAGTCTTGTCGCCGTTCGGACAGCACGCGCCGTCGTCCAAGGCGGTGACGTTCAGCTCGTATTTGTCCCGGTCCAGCGAGATCTCCTTCCCGTGTAGACGTATCACGCCCGTGATCTCCTCGATCACGAACTGCCCCGACGTGGTGTTGCCGCCGACGAATCGGAATCGCACGTTATCGCCGTCCTTGTCGGAGGCCACCACGGTGGTGACCAGGGTGTTCGGCCCGGCGTTCTCGTCGACGTTAGGCGTGTACACCTGCTGGGAGAACTTGGGCTCCTCGTCGTTTTTATTCTTCGTGTATAT